CGCCTCTTAATTTTTTTATTTTTGGCTCCCTTGTGAAATAAAAAGCCCCAATAATTTTTTTTTTTTTTTTTTTTTTGTTTTTTTTTAATATCAGTAAAGTTTCTTTATTCCGTAATGCATTACGGTAAACAGGCAACGATAAAATACATTGGACTGAAATTGCACAGGATTCCTGATTGAAACGGTTATTCCTCATGCGTGACCTCGAGTTCAAAGTTTACGATTTGACGTCAATAGCTTTACTAACGTGACCTGTGTTGTATTTTCTTCTAAATATTCAGGGTTGGAAAGGGGCTAGGTCAACTTAATCTCAACAAAAGAGTGTTTTAGCAAAGTAATAAACCATTAAACAAGTGGGCGTGACACTTGTTTTGACAGTTTGGTGAATGCTAATACTGATTCCGAGCTAAGACAACCGGTATGCTAATTACGTTTCTAATAGTTTACCTTTCCGCTGGCCGTGCCTCCGCTAACACCGATTAAGAAAGGTCGATGTCTGGGCTTTTCTGCCTCGTCTGTGACTCCAAGTTCTTCCATTGCAGTCAGTTCAACAATAAAGGCAGCAGAAACGAAATTTGGCAGCGTGTCCGACAGCTAACGGCCTGCAAACAGCTACGGCGGAAACTACTGTCATTCTCGCGAGAACTGAAGCTATCTGGGTCACTTCGAACACTGGTGTTCCGATGCAACACATTTTAGTTTGGTTTGTAGGCAACAAAATACTGTTATTTACACCCTTTGAACTGAGCCATAGTTTGTCATGTTTCACCTGTTGGTTGCGTATTATAGTTTAATTGGTAGATCAAATCACTGCAACCTGATATTTTATTGGGGAATAAAAATAATCTTATAATTTTACTTATTTATTTTTTAATTGAAAAATCTTTGGTGCATTTGAGTGCAGTCTTTATTACTCAGATACCCCAAAATAAAATCGAGTAAAATCAAGCATTTCAGAAGTAACCTGTAATAAACAAAGTCCATCTTTGTCATAGCATAATCACTAATGTTTACACTGTTTTTCAATGCTTCAATGCATGTAAGGCACATATTACTCCACCTAAAAAACACAGAATAATTTGGTGTTAAGAGATTAGCGTTTTCTACTGGTAACGAACTGTCACGAAGTATAAATTTTACTTTAGTGTTGATATATATTTACCTTAGTAAATATATATTTACTTTATACTTTAGTATAAATTTTACTTTAGTGTTGAATGTCTGTTTTAC